CATATATATATATATATATATATATATATATATATATATATATATACAATAAATTAATGACATAATTTATAGCAATAATTATTACACGACATATCAATTTATGAGACATTTTTTTTTTCATTTTTTGTAATTTTCTTTCGTTTCTCTTAAATCTGATGCGTTCCAAAATCTCTTCGCGTCGATTATCTTGTCTGTCCGCTTTCTGTTTTATCTCGCTGTAATTTTGTACGCTAATAGATTTTACCTATCAATAAAGATTATTGTCATTAGATAACACGTGTTGTGTGTAACAATTGTATATCGTTGAGAAGGTAATTGCAATATTGATGTAGCGTTACTGTCGGTTGGTGTTTACCGGGTTCCCGGCTCGCGACGACACCGCTTCGTTCCCTCGGCGGAGCCTCTTCGCATAGACGCAGAGACTCGCGCGCGCGCGCGCCGATTCGCCAGGACATCCTCTTCAGAAGCGCGCTCACGCTCGCGCCGAGATCTCGGGATCCGGCGGCGATCGATCGGCGTTCTCGACCCGGATCCCCCGTTAACAGCGCGTTAGCGAATCACCTCTCGAATCGAAGGCACTCATTAAAATGAGAGACGAAAAACAAACAGATCGGCTGACGGTTTTTCTCACGATCCCTCCCATCACCATCTTCTCACGATGACGCGTTCCTTCATTGTGTACGAATTAAGCAATCGATATCGCCGATTCGGCTCGGCTGTACAGGGTGTCCCAGAATCACCGGACGCGCCTCGTCGACCTCCCGATTCGGCAGGGACGATAATTCACGAAAAGTCACGGGAACGTCGAGAGAAGCCTCACTCGTCGCCAGGATGCACAGTAGAAAATTTTATGTTAATTTAACACAAGACGAATATGCTGAAAAGTAACGAAAACATTATGTGAAAGATTAACGAAAATGAATACGTTAAAATCGACACTGAAATGTAAAATGTGTTATTTTAACACTTACGCATGTCGAATATCGACAAAACACAAAATGTTGAGATAACATAAACACAATTGTGTTAAATTAACACAAATACAAGATGTTTTCTACTGTAGCGATCGTATAATTTTTCCCAGGAAGCGGAACGTGGAAAGTGATCTGTTCCGTATTTAAAAAATGCTAGATTTACATAAACAATATTACTTCAATATTCCTTAGAAAAGTTTTACTTGAATCAAGCAATATTGTCTTGATACAAGTAAAGTATTAAAAACTCACAATCTAAGTAAAAATTTGCTAAGGAATATTAGAGTAATTATTTACTTGAATTTAATACTTTTTTCTGTAAAAGATTTTGTTAGAAATGGTCCATCCAAATTTTTGTTGCCTTAACAAAGTGGATATGTTAAAAAGTGACATGTTAACAGGATGAATATGTTAATATAACATATATTTGTATACTTTTCAACATATTCCCCGCGTTAAAGTGACACCAAAATTTCGATGATCCGTTCTTAACACAAATTTTTTGACTAAATTCGTACAAGTAAACTCGAATTCAGCAATCATGAAGCAGTTTTCCAAGCAGTGGAAACTTGGATCTTTTCACGTTTTCGCTCTTTTTATTCGTTATCCCCCAATACAATTTCACCTTACGAAACCCCCCTCAGGAAAGCTTTCCTCCAAATTAAATTCTTAATTAAAATCTATTGTAATATTTTAAACATTCCCACCTTCACAAGTGATAATTTTGCCTTGAACTCTGCGAAAGGCGCCACACACGTGCGGACATCTGCCGCGATTTCTGGGATACCCTATGACAGAACGGTGACCACGCGAGTTCCGTTATCACCCCGCGATATCCTCGATGACACTGTCTGTGCACTCTAACCGATCCATCTGACCTGACGATACGCCGAAGAGCGATCGCTCGGCTTCACGAGAATGCCAGTCATTGTTATGTAAGCACGTGCGACGCCTCACCAAAGTCTCGACGCGTAATATTTATTTCTTCGAGTGACGGAAACATGGCGAGAATCTCCGAACAATCGGTGGGTTCTCGCCGAGGGGAGGGCTCGCAGGGGCGAATTGACGACGATCATGACAAAATGATCGTTGTCGCCGAGTACAATCGAACGACTAAGGAGAAAGAGAGAGAGAGAGAAAAAGAGAGAAACGACTGCGCCAGATCGCGTTCAATTCTCTCAGACCTCTCGCTTCGTTCACTACGTAGAGAAAAAGGTTTCTTTGCGATGCTTGGATAAAAATACAAAAGAAATATGTTATTTGACATAAAGATATTTATATTGCTTGAGAAACCAAAGAATCCCTCTTTGTTAAATCGAACATCCGTTTATTTGCTCCGTCTCAGAAAAGATAAATTTACTTCAATTAAAGAAATTTGATCAAAACCACAGAAATCTTTACCTCTGCGTATAAGAGATACATTTTTCCAAGAACATTAAGCATCACTCTCTCGTCCGATCCTTCCCCTCCCCGTCTTCGGCCTCGCGCCAGGTTCTCGTCGAGGAGATGATCGGCTCGCAATAGAGGCACAGACAGGCCGGATTCGTCGTAGACGAGAGCACGACTTGGCCGAGTTTATACCGGACAATGTCGCGTTTTAGAGGAGGACAAGGACGCCAAGGAGGCGAAGGAGCAGGAGGCGCAGGAGCAGCAGGTGGTGGACGGCGAATAGGGGAGAACAGCGTGTACCGGGTGAGACGGATCGCGTCGCGAGCGGGTCGGGGCGGCTACGACGACGATGACAGTGACGAAGACGAAACTCTCGGATGATAACGAGCGATAAGACGACGACGACGAAGCGTCCCCGACCGCGCAGTGAGTCCTTAATGTTAAACTCCTGGATGTACGATATTAGGGAAAAAATTGTTTAATATACATAGCGAGCTCTCACATTATACACACACATACACACACAAAAGACACACAGATACAAAAGAAATACACACGTAAGCGAAAAATATTATTTACTACGCAGTTATATATATAAAAAAGGTATAGATCGGAAAAGAGGAGAAAGAGGAGAGGGATGACGGCATGACGACAATGATAACGATGATGATGATGATTAAACAAAATGGGAAAGGAGTAAAGAGACTAGTGGTAGTTATTGCCGTGCGAGAAACAACAAAGAAAGAAACACACGCCTATGATAAACGCGCTAATTCAAGGGGGTGAGTCAAGGGTGAGAGAGGCTGCGTGCATGCGCGCGTGTGTGTATGTGAGTAATGAAAGTACGTTCGCGGAAGAATCGCCAGGGAGGAAGAAAGGGAGAAAGAGAGGGAGGGCGAGAGCGAAAGAGAGAGAGAGAGAGAGAGAGAAAAGAAGCTGAAGCATGTACATACATATATATGTATGTAATATATAGATAAAAAGCGCATATATATTATTATTATATATATGAATATGTATATGTATGTATAGGTAATTATATTGAGACTACACACTGTACGCGATAACAGAGGATAAAAAAAAAGAAGAAAAAGAGAAAAAAAGTAGTAAGGCTCTTAATACGATTGCTATGTTTACAATTATGAGACGATTATTATGATTATGATGATGATGATTATTATTATTATATAATGATGTCCTATAAATATAAATAATTATAAATACACACACACACCACCTTACCTACCTACGTACCTACCTGCCTATCTGCCTGCCTGCCTGCCTACATACCTACTTACCTACCTACGGACCTTTCTTCCCGCCGTTCTCGTTTCGCTCCCCCGCCGTTTTATCTTTCTCTCGAATATCTTTTAGTTTTACAAAACACGCGACGAACGCGTGCGTCGTCGCGAGGGTATTAACCGTGACGACGACAACAACGACGACGACGACAACGACGTCGTCGTCGTCGTCGTCGCAGACGATGATGATAATTATGATGATGACACGATGATGATGATGATGACGATGACGAGAGATACCTTGTAGCATATAATTCTGCTGAATGTGTTTCAAGCGAGAATCGCGAGGCCGCAGCGCCGTTTCAAAAATGAAGGTCTGCTTCACGGCGCGCAGCGGCCTCCTTACAATAATATTATTATTATCATTATTATTATTATTATTATTATTATTATTATTATTATTATTATTACTGTACATTTTGTGGTTTATTTAACAATAAAATATTAACGATAATGTTAACCGCCGCCTTACGTACGTCCCTCCCTCCTCTGCGCCAGGCAGTTTACCTCCCGAGAACGCGCGGCGACCTTTTATCTCTTCGGAGACGTGAATACTCGCATTGTACACGGAAAAAATATTTTGCTGGCGCAGCAAATCGTTAATCACTATGGTGACAGAAGGAAGATTTGTCACACGAAAAGGATAATTTTGCCATAGCAGCAAAACATCGGTGCGACAGCGATGAAATTCAGCCGACACAACCAAATTATTTTGCTGTCCAGTTATATCCAGCGAAAAGCAATAATAATATTCATAACAAATCTGTTTCCTTTGCTGAAATGAGCAATTTTCTCGCTGTCTCTGTAGTAACCAACAATTTGCTGTGCCAGCGAAATATTGTCCTTCGTGTTAATCGTCGATTCTCGACTTTATCGCTCGCGGGGACAACACGGTATCACGATGGAAAAATATTTTTATCGAACATTTTATTTATTGTATTTTGCCGAACTGTACTTGCGTCATTCGCCGCAACGTGCACACGCATCGCTTAACTTAGAGTAGAAAATATAAACATACGAGTGTGTGTGCATATGTGTGAGTATGTGTGTGTATTGTGTGTTAACGTCCAAGTTGCGGATATCGCCGATCCATCTGTGGAAAACCAAGACAAGGAGCAAAGATCGAGACCTTCGCCGGGCCGTCGTTCTCGTCTCCGATAGATGTGAATGGGTTCTTCGGGCTTTCAACCAAGAAGGACCTTCCTGATCATGGCGCCGCACACGAGCTCCTCGTCGCCGTCGCGTGGCTCGATGCATTTGCTGCTGCACAGATATTGCAGCAACGGCAGGCGATATTTCCCGCAGAAGTCCACGAACTTGACGTGCTCCACATGATTATTGAAGAAGACACCTGCACCGGAAAAAACGAGGCGTTCATTAGCCCTCCTTGGCGAGGATCGAGCCGGCGGGAACGAGATCGGTGGATCTCCGTCCCTCGCCCGGGCGGAAGAAAATGGAGGTATCAAAATAGATATGATACTGTGTGATGAAGTATGTGATATACAGATTAATATGATATAAAGTAAAAACAATCTGATGTCTGATATATCTCTCTGGTATTTCATACGCGTTAATAATATACTTTATATATATTATTAATCAAGAAATATGTATATGTATACGGTGAAAAGTTTTGTGCAAATAACGGTTCGCTAAAATTTGCGTTACTTTAACATGAAGATATGTTGAGAAGTATACAAATCTATGTTAAATTAACATATTCACCTTGTCAAAGTAATGCAAGAATTTAAATGGACTGATATTTACACATTTTTTACTGTGTATATATATTGGGTATTTTATATTAATAATATACTTATATATTATATATTCCGATATTTTTTGATATTAATTAGATATAACGTAAAAACGATGTGATATACATATTTATATATTCTTTTTAAACTTTCGTAGTGTGGAGAAATGCTTGATTTTTCTTGGTATATTTAGAATATTTTATCTTTTAGGTTTGTCTTTCATGAATCACGACTTAGGAGTTAGGAGTGACACTTTCGGGTCGTTTATCTTTCTCTCTGCGAAGAAATGAATATTCACGAAACGTCGGAATCGCAAATCTACGAAGGACGCGGCCTAATCCGGCGGCCAGATAAAGCAGAGTGAAGACAAATCTCGAGCTGGGGGACGAAGGGTGATTTCTCGGTAAATGAGGAACTTCGCAAGATCACCTTTGCACTTGGGATTGACGCAGCTGTGCGCGCTGTCGAGGTACTCCAGCAGGTTCCGCGGCACCTCCCCATCGTCGTAGCGGATATCGTTATTCTTGACGACGCGCGCCGCCAACTCCAGCAGGGACGGCGGGTCGTGCGTCATGTCGGACACGAATCTCACCACCAGCGGATTATCTCGCAGAGACAACTGAAAGATAAAGTGCTCGACGTCATCTTCTCTCGAAGATCTGTGATATCAAGGCGAGCGCGTGATCGACGCGCGATACGCCAGACGCGACGACTATCGCTAAATTGATCTGCTCTCTATTTTATTTGTCGCGGACCAACCTCTGTCAGGCATTTCAGCTTGATAATCTCGGTGGGCAGTGTCCTTAGGCTATTCTTGTGGAGCAACAGCGACTTCAGTTTCGTCAGGTTGGCGATCGAGCTCGGCAAGCTCTCCAGCATGTTGTCGCACAGCACGAGGGCCTGCAGGGCCTTGAGCTGACCGAGGGTGGACGGCACTTCCGACAATCTGTTGCCTCCCACCGACAGCACCTGCAACCTTCCGACGGGTCGAAAAGCTGTTTAGACAGCTGCGAGACAACCGACCGTGAAAATTCACAGTTAAACCAACTAGAGAAGTGTGTTAAAGAGAATTCAATTAGAATATATATAGATATTCTGTTTAACGTATATATTTATGTTTAATATTTATACTTTATATATCATGGGAGCGGTGCTCCGCGTTAAATATTTTTCCTCTCGCATTTCTGACTAGAAAATCAATTTTTCAGGTTCGTATTGCGCGTTGCGAACGAAGACATTCACAGGGAGCCTTGATTCAACATCTTGATTACAGAGAAGACACGCGGGAGCATGCACGAACAACGTGATCGCACAGCTGGTTGCTCAGACGTAATATAACGCGTTCTGCAGATCAAGATCCATTTCAATTCCGTTCGCCCGCTCTTATCGCGATTTATAATTCGGTATTTGAACTCGATATTTGAATTCGCCCAAATGAATTGCATAACTGAGATCTTTACGACATGCAAATTGGCTGTTAATGTTCTAACGATGCTCGCGCCTTTGTGTTTCCAGAAGTCATTAATCATCGCAATTATTTTACTTGGGATAAAATTCTTAGCTGCCGAAATCCGCTCGACAAAAGTTTCTATGTTACTCTTCTTCTCGAGTAAATATCGCGTTCGATGGCTTTTAACGGCCTCGAGACTTATTGTCGAAATTTCGATCGCGAAACTCCGGCCGTCGAATTGCCGGGCATTGCCTCGAGAAACTGCGCCGAAATTGTAAAAAGTGAGACAATTTCGCGGAAAGTCACAATATCGAAAGTCCGAATACCGAGGAAATCTCCTGAAATGTTAGGCGCAAAAGTCTTAGTTTTTCGACTATATAAAAATAAAGAGAAAATTTGCAGGAAAGACACAAATACTTCCATATACACGCCTGACGCAATATTCTGCCGAAATAAACACTGAGAAAAGAGCAGTCGGGTCAACAGAATTTGCGGTTATCCTCATTAAAAATATTATTGTATCGCGCGCGGCGCCTCACCTCTGCAACTTCCAAATATTCTCCGTGATCTCGCGGATGAGGTTGCCGCCGAGGTAGAGATACTTGAGATCCACCAGGTCGAGCACCTGGTCGGGGAACTCTTCGAGCCGATTGCCGTTGAGGTTCAGCTCCCGCAGAGAAGTCAGGTTCTCGAAGGCCTTGACCAGACCGTCGTTCGTCAGGTGGTTGTGTTTGGCGACCAAACAGGTGAGCGGACAATCCGGCCAGAAGTCTGGCAACCTGCTGAGGCCGCAGCCGGAGATATCGAGGGCGCCGAGACTGGTGAATCTGACGAGGCTGGATGGCAAGCTGCTCAGGCGGTTTTGCTTCAGCAACAGCGTGTCCACGTGCTCCGGGTATTTGACGTTTATCAGGTGCTCATCGAGTTCCTCGGCGCTCAGCGACAGGTACGACAGGTCCAGCGTCTTGCTGGAGTCCGAGTCGCTCGAGTCGGACGTGTAATTATCCATGTTTGCCGACTAGAGCAGAATTTCTCCCTCTTCTTCTTCTTCTCTTCTTTCTTCTCTCGCGATCTGGAAAATTCTGTACGAAAAATTACAGATCGATTAATCCCTCGTCAAGGCACACTTATTTCTCGTGGCTTGGTTCGGCACGAACTAAGAGAAAAAATATCCGCTATTTGCGACTATAATCATCATAATGGAAGATTTATAGTCAAGAGAATCTTTCTTTCTAGTAAGTGTCACTACAGGCTGCGTTCAAGCAGCAGAAGGAGCAGCTTAGCGAGCAATCTGTCGAAAAAAGTGCTTTCAAAGTGAAGGTCCGGATTGGATCCTTCAAGAGGACAACGACCCAAAACATTGGATGAAAGGAAGTCGAAACGCTAGGCTGGCCATAACAGTCATCAGACACAAGTCCTATTGAAAATGTCTGGGCGTTATTGAAGATAAAGCTGCGTGAAAAAGAAGTGCACACGATGAAACGTGGATTCGTTCAATATAGCGACCTTATCTCGAGATTATGCCGTTAAATTGGGAGAAAGTATGCCTGGAAGATGTCAGGCAATAATTGACAACCACAACGGTGGTTGGATGTGACTTATTAATACAAAAACGTTACTGTACGTTACGTAATACTGATTGTGTGGTACACCTGTAGGTTTTCCACATGATTTACAATAAACGGTTTAAAAGTTATGCCAATCACGTTCTTATCAGACTACAAAAGCGATCCTCCTGACAATAATTTCTTCACTATGCGATTGCAGTTAACACAAATCTTTTCGATTCTCAACGCTCTGTATATCGAGAACAAAAGTCTGGTTTTCCCTCAGTGTACAGAGCGTTGAGAACAGAAGACAAAAGACACGAACGACCAGTTGAGTATTCCAATAACACATTGAAGAATTGTTTTGACCGAGGGTAATTGGATGTGACGTACTCTTTCTCCGTCGCCGTTTAGTGGATATCATCCCTGAGAACACAGCGAGACGATACTTTGTTCTCTCGAATCACGCTCGCGTTATCGGGATCGATGTATCAGCCGTTAATTCTTCCGAGGTTGATTCCCCGAGCTACGTTTCGACTGTTTTCCAACAACACTTGGGGAAAACTGAAAAAACATTCCTCGAAAATGAATCCAAGCTCTCGTTATCTTATCTTACAAGTAGACCGGACCCTTTTTCTTTTTAAACATTTTGTGTACTCCGATGGAAATATTTTGCTGAAAGCGTTATGAAATCGATGAAATGCGAAATACGAAAGTTGTTGACACATTACTGAATATACGTAAAAATGAATCATAATTTTCCATGTGAAATGCGATATAACATTGTGAAATGTAAGGAGAATTCAAATGTGCTGTTGAGAAATAATAACAAAAATTTGAAATATTAAGTGTCAGAAAATTAACTCGGAATGTAACTGAAAATTGCGTTGACTCTTTCAAGAGAAATTGCTGAAATATCGATTGAAGTGACTCTTTACTGGAATATTGATGAGATAAGTATAAATGATAACGAAATAAGGCCAGTTGTGAGAAATCCTCAGATACATTTTCGTTATATTTCCAGTAAAATATCTCCGTCAAGGCGATATTTGCGTCTCTACTTATTCATTATCGGCCGATCATACTGTGGCTGCGTGAACCGGAAAAGCGCCAATTCATTGATTATTTCATTGCCGCAGGCGCGCGTGTCGAAAGAACGGCGAGATCACGCAGAGTGGAGGGAAAAGAAATAATAACTTTCTGCAGAAACGCGTTGTCATTGTCATCGTTAAAACGAGAAAGAGATCGAGAAGGAGAGGGGGGTGAGAGGGAGAGAGAGACGGGATAAACAGCGACTGTATATTCTCTGTCACGCGCATCCATGCGAATGGCAAATAACGATATGGATCCGCGTTTCGCGTACATGCAGAATCGTGTGCGCGCGTGGCGCGCTAAATCAATTATCTAGGAACTGATAAAGCCGCGAAGAGATGATCTATGCAATTATTGACCAAACACGCGATCATTAACACAGAGAGGATTTTTCAAGCGGCCTTGGATGACTTCAAGAACGGCTTCATCACGAGCCAGTCTCGAGATCGCTCGTTATCGCGAAGCGCCGCTCGTTATCCACTTCATTGCCGTTATAAAATTGCGCGTTGATTGGATTTGCCTGCCTATCGCCCAACGGAGTATCATAATTGGGTCGCTGGTTAAAGAAAAATCAAGTTTAAGCCTCCTTACCGCCATTACGCTCTCCGCTTCTTCCAGATATTTCCAGATATTATATACGTTCCGACCATCTTGCTTAAATCTGGCGTTATCCGGTTAATAAAAAAAAGATTAGTGGCGATAGCTAAAGTTAAGTATTTGATTTTTACAAGAGATTGTTATTACGCTTCTATTTATTGCTTCCGGCCGATGAATCCCGTCTAATCCTTATATAACGGATATTATATACATGCAGTAACGAATGTTATGTTTGCGATGATGTGATGATTATATATATCTCAGTAAGCGAACAATATTAAAAATGTGTTCGTGTATTCACTGCCGGTATTAAAAATATACAGTTCATATTACGCATATTCTAGATTCTTAGTACTGGTAGTAATAATGTATGAATACAGCCTACATCAATCTTTTGAAATATTGATATTTTATGTGGATTTTGTAAAAATTTTGACACGATACTTTGTAAACGTTTTTGAACTGTTACTTAATAATATATTACTTGGTGATATATATATAACTATTACTTGATAGTACGTAATATTTCTGTAAATATCAAAATCGTAATATAGAAATATTATTTTTAATGTTTGGGTAAAATATTGTTAACATATAACATTAAGAACCATATATTTGTGAGAACGTTACATGTTATATAATAACATTGCAACAACGTTCTAGTTAGTCTTACAATATATTTTTTTTTGTAATAAAATCGTCTTATGTGCCCATTTTGGACATTGTGTTGTCTGGGTTGTGTTAATGATTTATTGCTTATTGAAATAATAGTTTATATATATATATATATATATA